AGGGAAAGACTTCTTACATAAGACCCCCAAAGCACAATCAATAATCCCCAAAATAGACAAGTGGGATTACACCAGACTAAAAAGTTTCTGCATGGCAAAAGACACAGTAATTAGTGTGAATCGACAGCCCTCTGAATGGGAAAATATTTCTGTCAGTTACGCATCAGATAAGGGACTGATAACCAGAATACACAAGGAACTCAAGCCGCTGTTTGGAAAAAAGATGATCAACCCTATTAAAAGATGGAAGAAGGAGTTGAAAAAAACACTCACTAAAGATGATATACAAATAGCCAAAAGGCATATGAAAAAATGCTCAACATCCCTCATCGTAAGGGAAATGCAGATGAAAACAATGAGCTTCTGCCTAACCCCAGTCAGAATGTCCAAGATTAAAAAACAAAAAAATGATAAGTGTTGGCGGGGATGTGGTGAAAGGGGAACTCTCTTACAGTACTGGTGGGAATGTAAATTAGTCCAACCACTGTGGAGAACAATGTGGAGATTCCTCAAAAGTCTACAAATAGAACTAACATATGATCCAGCAATCCCACTTCTTTTCATCTACCCAAAGGACAGAAGAATTCTTCATTAGAAAAGTGATTGCACATCGATGTTTATTGAGGCACTTTTCACAATTGCTAAAACATGGAACCAACCCAAATGCCCCCGTATGGATGAATGGATTGAAAAACTGTGGTACATATACTCTACTGAACATTATTCAGTCATAAAAAAACCAAGAAAACCTTGACTTTTGACAGAAAGTGGAAGACTATGGAAGATTTACTGCTGAGTGAAGCAAGCCAGGGGATGAAGGAGAGACATTGTATGTCCTCACTTAATATATACTGAGTGTCTGCACTTGATGTCTGAAACTGATGTTCTAAAGGATGTACAATCACAAGAGATGAGTGTGAATGCCAGTTGTGTTGTGTTTGGAGGAGTATGGCCTGGGGAAAGACATTTGGAGGAGGGATACGGAGGCAGAACATTGACAAGATGGGCAGGTATGTTGTTATATGTTGAAGATATTTTGAACACAGGACTGGGGAAAAATGTTCACGTATTGAAATGTTCACTTTGTAAGCTAAATAATGTGATTGAATGTATAAAAATAATTTTAAAAAAGGAAAAACAAAGGAAAAGGAATCTAACTGTCCAAAAAAAAAGAAAAAGGAGAAAGAAAGAAAAAAAAGAAAGAGAGAGAAAGAAAAAAAGAAAGAAGAAGAAAAATAGAGAATATCAAACAGAGGAGGGGAAAGGAAGAGGGAAGGAAATAAGTAAACTCTCACTTGGCATCGGGCTTGGGTTGTAAGGAAAATGTCACCTTTTCCTCCAAACTCTGGCCCTGGAGACTGTACTTGAGGCATACTTTCCCTGTTGCCTCTGCTGGCTGTGAATAAAAGAAAAGTATAATCGAACTGATGGAAGGAAGAGACTGTGAGCAGAAGAGTCAGAACTGGGGTCACTCCTCAACCCTACATATTGAAGTTCCTGACTAAGAATGGACAGCTCAGGAAAGCAGAGAGCTGAGAGGGTGGGGAAGAGGGTGGGGAAGGGGCTGCGAAGGGAATGGTCTGGCTCCAATTAGCAAGTGCACATCCTGCTGGGATCCAGAGCCTCCTCTTATTGTCTATAGGCTTCAAGGAAGTTGTCCTCCAATTTGTCAGTGGGGACAGAGCAACCCTGACTAGAAGACCCAATACAAATGGGAACTCACCGGCATTGCCCCAGTCAACTGGGCATAGATGATTAATCTCTGACCCCTGAAGATGACAGTCTGTTCTGGAGAAAGCATTTTGGCAGATAGACCAGGAGACAAATCCCAGCTTAGAGAGAAGTCTTGTACCACAGGCTGCAGAGACTGCTTCAGGGCCCTAAGGACCTGCTCAGGAAAGGGAACAAAATAAACAAAAAATAAAGCCAATGATAACTATTATTAAATGCCAGGTGCTATGTGACACAACGTATGCTGTGCTTAAACCTCAGTCCTATAATAAGAGAGGGGCACATTTCTCAGCTCTAGAACTGAGAGATTTATTAACATAAATGTGAATCAAGACAACGTTTGGGAAAGGAGATCCCTGGAGAAAAGAATTAGAGAAGAGACGGCACCTCCTGGGAAACAGGGACTTAGAAACATGACCAGAGGTGTCTTCTCCTTGTGCACACAGACCCAATGGGTACCAACTCATCACTCCTCTGATTTGTTAGACACATCACTGCTCCTCCTTCTCCTGTCTCTGTGTCCTTGCCATGGAGAACAGCATACAGTACCGAAAGGGGCCCTGAGTCAAAGATCCAGAATTTCAAACACAACAGCCAAAGCTTGCAGTTTCTGTCTCTGTTTTAAATGCAAAGGCCCTAAATTTTTTTTAGCATCTCATCTCTGGGCTTTCACTATTCGGCCAGATGCCATTTCCCTGGCAATAAGTGGACCCATTTTATTAAGGCCTTGGAGAATAAGAAAATGCATCCTAGAGTGAGTCGTTGCCCTGCCCTTGCAGCGTGGTCTCCTTCCCATACCTCTGCACATGCACACTGTCCTCACCTTGGACTGCATCCTGTCCTTGCCTGTGATAAATTCTGAAGCTCCCCCTGAGACTCGGGCAATGCCTTTGATTAGGCTAGTGGAAGCACCTTCGCCAATGCCAAATGCGAAACATCTACAATTGTAGAAGGATAGAGTCAGAGACAGGCATTAAAGAGTGAAATTGAATTAACACATACTATTCAAAAATACATAAAAGGGTAGCCCACTTTTTTTTAAAGGTTTTTGCCATGGGGTGCATGCACCTGCTGGAGAGAAACAGAAAGAGACAGTGACAGGGAAAATGAGAAGTCACCCCAGGATGGGGGGCAGGGAGACTCATGCTGAAATCCCTTCTGTGCCACTCTCCTGGGATTTGTGGCATGCATACACATGCACTGGGGGTGTGTTTCAAGCCACCAGGTCCAAACTCGAACTGCAGTCAACCATGTGGCGGTCCAGTGCCATACCACTACACCCCCTGCTGGCCTCCAACAGTCTATGCTTGACCAGAAGTGCAATCACTACCATTTAATGAGCATACTCTTTACTTGGGGAGCTAAAAAGATGCCTTATATTTATGAAGCAACTTAATTTTCATGAGATTTTGAGAAAGTTGGATTTTGCATCATTTTTGCAGACAATGAACTGAGGCCCAGAGAATTGAAAAGTGTGTCCATGATTAAATGAGAGAGATGGCACTGAAGCACTAATCTTTCTGACTACAAGCTGTCCCTGGCAAAGCATGGAAGAGACAGACAGCGTCCCAGTGCCTGGCCAACACTGTTCTGGCACCTGCCTTCCCTGGAAAGGGCCATCTCTGGGTAGGGAGGATTTCTCCTCCTGCTCTTCTAACATAGTCCCTATGCACTAAATAGCTTCTTAAGCACAGTTTGGTTTTCTGAATAAACCCATAGGGCTGGCCCACAGCACGGTGGTTAAGTGCTGTGTGAAGAAGGCTGGATCCCACAGGGCTGACACAGTCTGAATCTCAGCCCCAGGAGCTTGGAAAACATGCCTGGCACATGTATGCAAGTGCCCAGCACCCTCACCGGAGGGAGAAATGGAGAAGAGAGGATTGGGTCATGATTAGGTTCTACTAAGTGGGGGATGGGGATTGCTTTCTCCCTCTCTGGGATGCACACACCCTCTGGAATTAGAAATGAAATCATGTAGGGAATCAGCAGTTAGCGTAATGGCTATGTCGCCGGACTCCCACGTAGTCGACTGTGGTTCACGTCCCAGACCCAGTGGCTTGGAATTCACGCCAGGTGTGTGTGCGTGCATGCTCAAGATCCCGGGAGGAGAATGGAGGAGAAGGGATTGCGGCGTGACCATTCCCCCTGGGGGGTGATTTCTCGCTTTCTGTCTCTATGTCTCTCTCTGTCTGTCTGGCAAGCGCACGCGCCCTATAGTGAAAACCTCTCAAAAAAAAAAAAAAAGAAATGAAATCATGTATACACATAAAATACATCAATGATACTAACATAAGCATTTTTAGAACTGACACAGTTAGTTTTCACTATAAGTTAATTCACTGGGATACTGGTTTATATATCAGTCTTTTGTATTGAGAGGTTTTTGCTAGAGGGTGGATGCGCTCGCCAGCCAGACAGAGAGAGACACAGAGACAGAAAGCAGGAAATCACCCACCAGGGGGGATGGCCATGCCGCAATCCCTTTTCCTCCATTCTCCTCTTGGGATCTTGGGCATGCACTCACACGTGCCTGGCATGAGTTTAAGCCACCGGGTCCGGGACTCGAACCACGGTCGACTACGTGGGAGTCCAGCGACATAGCCATTACACTAACTGCTGGTCCCATATATATCGGTCTCTTTTTGAGTTGGGTTAGTGTGAGTCATCATCCCAAGCCTACTAACATCAGGAGAGTGTGCAAGCCCAAGATTCCAGGGGAAGATGAAGGAGAAGGGATTGCGGTGTGGCCATCCCCCCTTGGGAACGATTTCTTACTTCCCCTCTCTCTTTCCAGCCAGCACACCCTCAGGCAAAAACCTCTCAAAAAAAAAAAAAAAAAAAAAAAAAAGATCTGCTCTCTAACAAGTAACACAGAGTAGTCTCAGAAGAAAGGTAACAAATCATTTTTATAAATTTTCATACAAAGTATCTAACAACAAAAACCAGAGAAAATCCTCAAAGTTTGGGAAATTATGAACAGTACTTTTGAATTACACAGCCTTAAAGAAAAAAATTATAATTAGAAAATATTCTCAAAGTGGATGATGAAAGGAAATGACATATCCAAATTTAGAATCAGCTACAGATATGCTTAAACATGTATATATAAATACATACATTAGAAAAGAAAGTATAAAAATAAGTTACCTAAGCACCCTTCTCAGGATATTAGAAAAAGAACAGCTAATAAGTTCAAGGAATACAAAAGAAAATAAGATAGGAGCAGATAGTAATGAAACAGAAAACAATCGTATAATAGAGATCAATAAACCGAACAGGGCTGGTTCTGAAAATATTATTAAAATTGATAAATATGTAGGGCAAGAAAAGAAATAAAAAAGATACAAATAACCAACATCAGGAATAAAAAGGTAATATCACTACAGAGTCTGCCACATTTAGTCACACGATGAGAGGTGTTCAGAAAGCCCATGAGAGGCATATTATGAGGGGAAAAGTATGGATTTCACAATTTTTTATACTAAAATAAGTTTGTATTTTAATTCTTTTTTTATTTTTTGGAGAGGTTTTCACTATAGGGCGTGTGTGCTCGCCAGACAGAGAGAGACAGAGAGACAGAAAGCGAGAAATTACCTCCCAGGGGGGATGGTCATGCTGCAATCCCTTCTCCTCCATTCTCCTCTCTGGATCTTGGGCATGCACACACATGCGCCTGGCATGAGTTTTAAGCCACCAGGTCTGGGACGCGAACCGCGGTCGACTATGTGAGAGTCCAGTGACATAGCCATTACGCTAACTGCTGGTTCCTTCCATGGTCTTTTTGAAGTTCTCTCATAAAAGGCAACATCACGCCCTGGCAGCTTGAAAAACAAGTTGGGCACACATGCATGCATGCCCAAAATCTAGACAGGATGGAGAAATGGAGAAGCACCTGCCATGTGCCCCCACTGGGCAGTGCTTACTTCTCTTTCTGGTCAGTGTATGTGCCTGTAGCAAAAAAAAAAGTGTGTGTGTGTAGCCCAATAGCAAGCACCACACCTGGTATATATATCTACATCTATATGCATGCATATATATTCAGAAAAATATAAGAACATATAAAAACATAAATAGCTTAAAAAAGGTTTTCCCACAAAAAAATCTCCATGTCCAGATGGCTTCACTAGCAAATACTAGTAAATATTTAAAAAAAGACAATCTTTCAGAGAACAAGAAAGAAAGGAAACATTCGTAGCTCATTTTATGATGCCAGCAAAGCATTTATTTCAAAACCTGACACAAGAAATGAATGTTAATATTTCTCATGAAAACAGAGTCAAAATCCTAAGCAATAACTAGCCAACCAAATCTAACATATGTGAAAAAAAGCTAATGCACCAAAACTAATTTGGGTTTATTCCAGAAATGCAAGGTTGGTCTAATATTTAACAATAATAATTATGATTCACACATTTAGAGAGTAAAGGGAAAAACTCATATATTTATCTCAACAGATACATACAAAAGTTTGATAAAATTCAATAATCATTCATTGTATGAAAAAAGAGGTGAAGAACTCTCAAAACAGAATAACAGCGTTATTTCCCTAATCTTACCAAAAAAATCTATGGCTGGGATTTGGGGGTGATTTCTCGCTTTCTATCTCTCTCTGTCTCTCTGGTGAGTGTATGTGCCCTATAGCAAAAATACCTCTCTCTAAAAGTAAAAGAATTGGAAAGTCAACTGACTTTGTTTACAAAGATGATTATCCATAGAAAACCCAAGAAATCTGCAAATATCTATGTATCTATCTATCTATCTATACACACACACACACATCCATACACATTTGAGATATTTTTTGCTACAGGGTACATGCGCTTGCCAGAGAGACAGAGAGAGAGAGAGACACAGAAAGTGAGAAATCACCCCCCAGGGAGGATGGATAGACACAATCCCCTACCCCTCCATCCACTTCTCCATTCTCCTCTCGGGATCTTGAGCACCCACGCTCATGTGCACAGTGTAAGTTTGAAGCCACTGGGTCTCGGACTCAAGCCACAGTGGGCTATGTGAGACCCAGCGACATAACCATTATGTCATCTGCTAGTCGTGGGACCCAGCGACATAACCATTATGCCATCTGCTAGTCCCACAAGGTCAATATTAAAAAAAAGTATGGAGATTAATTTCTATACAGAAATAAACATCTAGTAAATAATATCCAGTAAATAAAATATTAAAAAATACTACTTAAAATAGTAACAAGAGACCAGCAGTTAGCATAATGGCTATGTCACTGAACTCCTATGTAGTCGACATTGGTTCAAGTTCTGGACCCGGTGGCTTAACCTCATGCCAGACATGTGTGCATGCATGCCCAAGATCCCAAGAGGAGAATGGAGGAGAAGGGATTGCGGCATGGCCATCTACCCTGTGGGGGGGGTGTGGGTGATTTCTCACTTTCTGTTACTCTGTCCCTCTCTGTCTTTCTGACAGGTGTGTGTGCCCTATAGCAAAAACTTC